TATGACCAAAAAAAGGAGCCACAAATCTTAAAAAATTCTCCCCGGGTCGAAAAAATTTACTATTTAAGTACATATGCGGCCCTTCAAAAATAAAATTGTTCTCACAGCAAAAAGTTTGCCCACTCCTGGGTTATGATGATAAAATGTGATGATCTGTTATGTTTTGCTATTGAAAAATTTTTGCCTGATTAAATTTTAAAAACTCGTACATAATAACGAACCAACACACAAACCAACTTTATTTTTGATAATTCCCGCTCTTTTTCCTCTCATCCTTATATATCACATACGATGATATATCTATACATATATGCGTAAAGTTTGTATGTGTGGGTGTGTGCGTGCGTGCGCGCGTGTGTGTATGTGCGTGTGTGGCGTGTTGGTGTGTATGAATGTAATTAATATAAGTTATGTATGGATGGAGCTTGAGCGCTTTATGTGCACGTGTTAATTTAAATTTATGATTTTAATATGCCCTGCATGTTAGAGTGGCTTATATTTTAATGGTTTCCTCGACTCGTCCATTTTTATAAACATGCAATGAATTGTTTATAATATAAATGAATTATACATGAATGAATGAATTATGTTATGTTTCGTTGTGCGTGCCTTCAGTTGTGGAGCTCTGTCTTCGAATAAAATTAATAGATAGATAGATAAACATATGTGGGAGGTTTTAGTTTGACATTTTGAAAGCGCTGATATTCATAAACTTGATGATGTTTAATTTTTTCAATTGTATTTATAAAACTTTTACAACACAGAACACTATTTAAAAGTTTAATGTTAAATTCAATTTTTCTTGTAAACTCATCTTCTACATTGAGAGAAAAACTGAATTTTTATCTGTAAACGTTTTTTGTAGGGCTGCGAATCATACACGAATATAAAAAAAAGGAACATTTTTAAACATGTTCGTAATAATATTAATTATATTATTTTATTATTTTAAAAATTGACTACTTGCTTCATTTAGCGACGTGGTGAGATATTTGTGGCCAGCGTGGCCTGTGTAGCCAGTGTGGCGTGGTTTGACGTTTGGAAGCAGCTGGCGACCTGCTCAGGCAAGCAACATTTTCCTTCCCAAACCTCACGTGTATAGCAACATGATTTATTGCAGATTTGCAAAACGTTTTCGGGCCGGCATTGAAAACATTTAAAAGATTTTGCACAAAAAATAATTAAAATATTTCTCGTGTGTGGGAGATGCAGTCACATCTCTGAGCTCGCGTGAATTTTAATTTCATAAATTGTACAAACTTCTATAGTTTTATTGAATAAAATGCTGAAATGACATTTGGTTTTTAACAAGGGACCGTTAATGAAATACCCAAAAATCATCGCGTAACATTAAATAAATCTGGTGAAATAAATAGAGTTGCCAGGTTGTTGTTCTGAGTTTACTTCAGCTGATTACTTGTAAATATAATTCAAATGCAACGCATGTTGGTGTGTGTCGTTCTGGTCGGCGAGTTGGCTAATGTGTTAGGAGTGCCGTGTCTACGTCATTAACACGCAGCGACTTTGTTCGAACGCAGTCTGCTGCCGAAGTCAAAAACATCCCAAGTCTCAAGCGAGAAATGCGGTGATTTTTAATCCTAAACGCGAATGTTCTATTTCGTGTAAGTATATAAATGAAATAATGTGGTCGCACATTGATGACATTAAAATTCATTCATTCATTCATTTGTTCGTTCGTTCATTCATTCATTCATCCATTCATTCATTTGTTCGCTCGTTCATTTATTCATTCATTTACTCATTCATTCTGTTTTATGTCGCACCTTGAAAACGCTCAGTTCGAGAACCTAAACAGTTATATAGCTATAAGGCAACACAAAACTTTTTTTAAACAATTTTCGCATTAACAAAAATTCGCCAAATAAATATAGAAATGTAAATTTATAACTAAGTGAACAAAATATAAATGAAATATTCATTTACATTTCATTGTATATTTGTATTGGCACATATCAAAGACCAGACTTTTAGAAAAAAATTTTATTTGCGAAGATTCGTTTTAGTTATTGTTGGCGTGTTTGATGAAACGCCTGGAGATGCAGGCATTCAAACAACTTTAACGACTTCGCTAGCCTCAGCAGTCATTTGAACAGGATGTTTGGAATGGAATGGGACAATAAGGCACTAATTTCAATGAAATTGATTAACATAAAACTGCATGACTGCTGCTCTCTGCCTACTACTTTTCACAATTCTACAGAAAAATGTTTTTAGAGTAATTCCCAAGCAAATTGCACTAATAAAGCATGCGCCATTAAAAAAACACATTTTGAAATGCAACGAATGATAATTTATAAGTTTCATTGACTGTTTGTACATACAGTTATGATGTTAACTTTACATCTAAATGTTCACGTTTCAAGTGTTTTACAATAGTGGTTCTGTTATGTAAAACCATTCAAAGTGGTCGCATCATCGTCACATCATCGTCACATCATCATCATTGTTGTAACTTGATTGATATCTTTCTATCTTTTTTCTTACCAATGTGATAATAGCAAAATCAAAATCATCCTCATCGTTATAATTCTTCCAATCATTTCGTCATCATCCCTCCCCTCACTACTTCCTCACCATCTTCATCCTCGTCTTCGCAGTCCTCAATTTTTTCCACAACACATTCATCAATGTCTTCATTATTATCATTATCAACATTGTTAACACAAAATGACTGCAATCATCATGTTGTTATCATTTTCGCCAACACAAATCATTCTAATTACATCATCTTCCCTATCTTCATTTTCCTATCATCATCTTCTCTATCATCATCCTTCCTATCATCATCCTTCCTATCATCATCCTTCCTATCATCATCTTCCCTATCTTCATCTTCCTATCTTCATCTTCCTATCTTCATCTTCTCTATCATCATCTTCATTATCTACAAACAAGCTCAGTCTACGCTGTCATAATCATCATCTTAATCACCATCATCGTCATTACCATACATTTGACAACAAAAAATGAAGAAAAAACCTTTAAAGACACCAAATAAACAACAACAAGATAAACAAAAATGCCGAAGCTCTTCAGAGCAAAACAGAACAGGAAAAAAAACTCTGGAAAGTCATGGAACGATTGCCGCCCCTATCATAAGTAAGATAATTCAACTGGAAGTGCTTCTATTAACCTGCCCAACCATCAATGAATTATTTCTATATCCATTTTTATGCGTGCAATTTATATTATATCAGTTCCTTTCTATCTATATATCTGTCTGTCTGTCTATCTACCTATCTGGCTGTAAATCTGATTATCAGTCTGTCTGTCTGATACAATATTTGCAACTGCGTAACTCTAGGCATACTTTATTCAAATTTTTTTTTACGTTTTTGTTGTCACTTGTTTGTTGACATCTGCATTCGTATATGAAGCACGCTGACAATTAAGGTTGAACTACATGTGCTGATAATTAATTTATCATGAGAATACAAGTTCGGTGGAAGATCTGCTTTGAACTGTTTGATTTTTTATTCTTTAGAAAGTTAGATTCTGTTGCAGTATGCTACTGAAGACGTTCTGAAATGACAAAATTAACAGTAGAGTGTGATGGGGATGATTTCTTTGTATAAAATTAAATATTGAGTTGTTATTCAATTAAAATAGAAAATTTTCAATTTAAAATTAATTATTAATATTTATTCACAATTTTCAGCAAGTTGTAAAATTGCGTGTTGCTCATTTTAAAATGTTGTGTGTGTGTTATTTTGGAGGTGATGCCAGTTCGTAAGAAGAAGAATGAAACGTCAAGAATTGAAATTAAACACTTTCTGATGCGGCTGACGTTCATTCCAGCGTCCATTCTTCAAGGACATCTTCATGCTCCAAATAATGTCACAAGTCTTCAATCAAACTCCTCTCCCGCCGACATTCTGACGTACATTTTTTCAACATTTAACGAGTAAATTTTGACAAATGTCATTGGTTTACTCCGAAAAAAATGTGATTTTGTTAACTGCATTGACGTTGCAAAGAAAAAATATTTCTCCTTCATTATTCAAATAATTTGCTTGGGAATAAAATAATCAAATTTTTTTTCTTAAAAACAAAAAGACATCGACATCGTGTTTTTAGATTTTCATTTTTTAAATTCTCCGTTATTTACAGTTTCTGCGTCTGTCAGATCCTGATTTTTAAAGAATAATAATAAAAAAAACGAATGAAATTAAATTTTCATACAGCTCAAATCTTATATAAAACAACAAAAATTATTTCGACATTTGGCAATTTGAAAAAAAAAAATTTAAATGCGTCAGCTAAGAACAAAAATATTCATCCATGCTTGAATTAATTTAAATAAATGAATTTGGATTGTTGAAAGTTCAAAAAGAAGAAGTCATCGTTTGTACTTTTTTTGAATAATTAAACGGACGTTGCGTCGTTTTTGTTTTGTTTTGCCTGTGTATGTGTGCTTGTGTATGTGTGTCTGTGTATGTGTGTCTGGCCGGTGGAGGTTGCTTTTCGGTGGCGGTGAGTGTGTTGTTGCCGCTTATTCTATTTTGTTGCGTAACTAAGTGTTGATGTATTGCTGTCGTGCGTTGTTGTTGTAGTGTTGCTGTTGTGTTGTTGTTGATGTTTTGTTGTTGTTGCTGTTGTGGCGTTGTTGTGTGTTTGTATATATGGTGATTCTTTGCATCTTACAATGTTAACCTTGACAGTTAATTGGTTTGTTGTTACGTAAGAGTTCGTACATCTTGTCTTACATGTTTTGGTTGCAACGTTCTTATTGTTTACATATGGTCGGAACGGTCAAACAGCATGTTCTAATTGAATTTTACAATTAATTATTGTGAAAAGTTGGTTTGCTCAAGAGTTTCATTTATTATTTCATCAATTTTTTGGGAAATAGTTGTTGGGTTAGATTGACAAATGTTCATTATTCAAAGGCTAGAAATGAAGGGCGACGAATATGTGCTTCTTATTGAAATTGAATTTAATTGAATCTGCTTGGCTCAGCTGTCGAAAGAGCAAAAATTTCAAGAATTGCTGTGTTGTGGGCAGTTGTTTTTGTGTTGTGGAAGTTGTTGCTGTGTTGTGGGCAGTTGTTGTTGTGGTTGTTGTTGCTGTGTTGGGGGCAGTTGTTGCTGTGTTGTGGGCAGATGTTGCTGTAATGTGGCAGTTGTTACTGTGATGTGGCAGTTGTTGATGTGTTGTGGTAGCTGTTGGTGTGTTATGGGCAATTGTTGTTGTGTTGTGGTTGTTGTTGTTGTGTTGTAAGCAGTTGCTTCTCTGTTGTGGGCAGTTTTTGTTGTGTTGTGGTAGTTGTTGTTGTGTTGTGAACAGTTGTTTTGAAATGTAAAAAACGTTGTGTAGTGGCTGTTGTTGTTAATTTTTTGGCAGCTGTTTTAAAATGGAACAAACGCTGTTATGATAGGCACATGTTGTGATATTAAAATATAGCGATGCGGTCTGTTTTTGTTATAATGTAAAAAAATTGTCATCATTTTCAAAAGAGCAACCATCACTATGTATATGCATCCTCTGGTAGAAATCAATAGACTTTGTTTTGTATTAGGCAATTTTGTTTTTTATTCATTTGGGCAGATAAAGTTATTGTTTGCCGAAAAAAGAGGCTAAATAAATTTTATTAGGAACCTGGAAAAATAAGAGCAATAAAGAACATGGAGATCTCGTTATTGATAAGTTTCGGGCAATGTTTCCAAATGGAAACTTCTGTATTAGATGCCACAGCCACTTGTTTTCATGTTACCAAAACAAGTAATGTTCGCTGGCATGTTTCGCATAACTTGTGTGTTTATTTGTGTGGCTTTTTAATATGTGGTTATTTACATATGTCGATATATAAATATATTACATATACATATATATATATATATATATATGTATATATATATATATATATATATATATATGTGTGTGTGTGTGTGTGTGTGTGTGCGCGCGCGCGTATCAAATTGGTGTTCGAATTGGTGTTTATCAACTGTTGTTATCAACTGTTGTTGATGTGTGATCAGTAAAATGTCGGCAAAAAACGAAAACCTACTTAATTCTTAAACGAATTTGAAATCTTTAAACTGGTATACATAGAGAGTTGGCAACCCATTCTGAAGATGTGCATGGTTTCTGATGCGGTGACTGCTTTGTTGCCAGATTTTTCAAAAAATACCATCTAAATTTTTTCAAATCAGTTGAGGTTTTAAATATTTGGTAGAGGTCAAGCTATCATTTGTTTGATTCGAATGGGCATTTTAACGTTTTCAAATCTGCTTTACTGAGTCCGTACATTTAAACAAAACATTTTCACACACATTGAATTATCACCTTAAATTTGCGGCTAGAGTTATTTTCAAACCCGCTATTATTAAATATCAATGGTGTTGTTTATGTTATTCCAAAGTCAAACTGAATTGAACTCCGAAAAACAGTTTATTAGATTTTTAAATCAGTTAGTGAATAATACAAAAAATGATTTTGACAAAAAGATTTTATTTATAAATTAATACAAAGTAAAATACTTTTTAATACGTTTATTTCTTCTTCGCAAAATCGATGCTGATGATCAGTGTAGTATATAAATTACATGTCTGTTAACGATTCAAGTTGAATTTTCATGAAAAAGATATTTATCCAACAAGTTTTTCTTGTAGTCATGCCGTTGGTTAAAAAACAGTTAAAGAATGCACATAAAGTTTTGATATACGGTAAAAACCACTTCACATTAAATTTTTTAATCAATGCCAAAACAAGGCAACCGCCCAAATAATTTGTTAATCTTTTAAAAATATAATTTTGATACTGTGAATTTACTACTTAGAATGTAGCTGATGAAAAAAATGTATACAAATTTCAACTTATTAACAATCCGAAGCTACTTAGACACGTATAGTGCAGTCAGAAATTAGAAGCCAGCTTACGCTCAATTCAGTACATAGATATCAATGATGGAATCATAGAATGTTCCTGCATTCAATTAGAGATCTTTTCCAGTGAACAACATTAAGTAATAATAAATTTTAAAATATGAAATAATTTTTAGTTGAAATTTGCTGCTTAACAATTAAAATTCTTGCTAACGGAGAAGTAGTAGTTTCAATTTATAAAATGTTATGTATGTACATTGTACATATCTATGAGGATATCTCTCTCTCTCTCTCTCTCTATATATATATATATATATATATATAGAGAGAGAGAGAGAGAGAAAGCGAGAGACAGATTAGATTTTTACTTGTGACTTGTTACTTAGAACGTAGACGAGCATTTATATAACGACTGAAACTTTGATGGCAATCTTTTGATTCGTAATCTGAAACATACAATTTCGTCAGTTTCGTTTTGAAAAATCATCATATTGGATCTTGAACCGTAGGCTGTACATTTTTAGGAGTTGCTGTTTTTTGTTTTCATAACGTCAGTCTTCTTACGACACTGTTGTATACAGTTTGCATGTAAATGCTGTTGGCAAATATCGGTTTAAAACGTTTGTACCTCATGATTTTATATTTTAGAAAAATAACCAAAAATGACAGACATTGAAATTAAATTAATATTTCTAGATTAATGAACAAAATAGCCGGTAATGATGGATTCTCAAAAATGGACTCAGAAATTATGTTTTGGAGAATGTATTCAAAGGTTTTTGTGGAACAAAATTTCTTACATAACATGCGTATTTTTCGTGCTTATTTCTGCGTCTGTCAAATCCTGATTTTTAAAGAATAATGAAAAAAAGTGACCAGCTTTTATTTCATACCCAAACCCTTGTACATTTCTACAACTTTTAATTCAATGGAGACCGGCATCGCGATCTTACCAGAATGGTCCGATTGAGCGACTGATCTCATTAATAAACATGACTTTAACTTTGAATAATATTGAATTAAATTAAATTGAATTGATTTTAATTAACCCAAAAAATAGATACAGAACGACTACAAAGATGATGTGTTTGATCCAAAATACTAGTGCATTAGAAAAGGCATTTGCCTATTATTCTTGTCCAATAAAACAACTAAATTAGGCTTGCTGATTAATTACTTGACAACCTAGTCCTAATACACGACAGGTCTTATTATCCGATTAAACGATGATTCAATCAACTGGCATCTGCTGCATATATTCTAACTAATTGTTTGAATTATTTGTCTCTCTGTTTTTTTCAGGAACATTCGAAACTAAATTCAACATTTTTTTCAAGTAGACAGTTATTTTTACATATAAACTCTTTTAAATCGTATTCTGTCCTCCATCCATAACCAATAAAGTTTATTTTCTATGTAATCAAAAATGCTGTCAAATTTAGAAATTTAGACACTCGAGCAATCAGTCTATTGGCTGATTTCAGAACCGATTGAATGGATGCCAGTTGACTTTCATTCACACCGTACCGAACGGAATTGTAGTAATCGATCTGTATAGAAACAAGGCTGTTCACCACAGTTTTTGTAGACTCTTCTGAAAAATAAAGTCTGATCGCTGTTATTTTATGAAGCTGATGAAAGAATAGTTGACAGAGACGTTTAACATGATCTTCCTTAAAAAAGTTAGAGTCGAGAATGACGCTTAGATCAACAACTGGTTCTTTAAGATCGTTCACATTTTGCAATCTGCGCTGACTACCAAGCCGCATATATTTAGTTTTATTGTTGTTGTTTATTGTTGACATCCACTCTTTTTCTGCCTTTATAGACTCTGAAACGGTAACTGATAATCGATTCTTGTGAAGTGGAATCACACAACAGATGCAAAAAATGACAGCTGATTTAAAAAGATTTGAAAATCTTTACTGAGTCAGCTGTATATAAATTTACATTAAGGGTCCAAAGACTGAACCTTGAGGCACACCACGATATAGCCCTTTCTGACCCCACGGTAATAACTTGGGTTCTCTGAGATAGGTATGATTTCAACCATTTTAAAGCAGCCCCGTTGGTACCACAGGATATTAAAAGTGGTCTTAATGACGTATTATGATCAACAGCATCAAACGCTGCGCTTACATCAAACTAGTAGGCCAACATTACCTTTATTGACCGATTCACAGATATTTTAATGTACTTTCAACAACCCTGACTCGATGAAGGCAAGAGTTTGATTGAAATTTCGAAAAAAATGCGTTTCTTTTCAAATATCTAAGAAGCTGACTAGTATCAAGTCGTTCATTGGTTTTTGATATGAAAGTGATGTTGAGGTTAGAAATTGGTCTAAAATTATTTTCGACCGTTGATGACAACCCAGACTTTTTTAACAGCTGCGATTCTAGTATCAGTATTAATATTATAAATAGTTTTAACTAATTAGCGCATGCATTATAATATACTTTAAACAAATAATTTTTTCGTTAATGAACAACGAACGACGTGTTATTTATTTGTTTGAACGTTACTTGTCCAGGATGTCAACTAATTGTTTGTAGCAACTGAGCTGTTTTAATTAATTAATCATAACTACTGAAGTCTCTACATAAATAATGAAGTGCAGAAAAAATTTCTATATATATTGTTATAATAATTATTTATTCTTATATGTTCTTATATTTTCTGAACATCATTACAAAAATGAAAGAGTCTTTAACATATTTGTTTGTGTCACCAACTTCCCTACTCTACAATGAGGAGGAACATCATTCACCAACCACCATTTTAATTGCCATCATTATTACTATGTTTAGCGGATAATCATCATGTCATCTTTATCATCATCGTCGTCGTCAGAGTCGAAAACTTTATATCATCTTGCCCGCTGCAGCATTGCATTCAAATACAAAACAAACTTGATGATGATTTGTAAATATAGAAGCACACACACAATCACACACACATATACATGCAAACACAAACACTTCTTGCCATCACCACAATTTATACTCACCTTAAAAAATTTCCAAAATTGTTGCAACGTGTAAAACTAGTGTAGACAGTATGAACCAACTATAATACATTCTTAACGTTAATTTTCAATGTCCACTATCTTTAAAAGTACTGGATATTCAATTTATAACTTCAACTTGATTGTAATAAATTATTTGTGACATTTTTTCTTATCCCATTCAAAATATCTTCTAAAGCTATCAAACAAATGTTTACATTATTCATTAAAAATTACCACAAAAGTCTTGAAGAGTGCCCCATCGTATCTTACCCCTTAGAATCGCCACTGAAAATTTAATTAGTGTATTGTTTTCTACAATAAAGAGTGGCGGACACATACATTTTTTGGGACTTAGAATATTTTTTAAGCTTTTCGTGCTATTCTTATTTGAGGGTAAACATATGCAACAATTTTTTTACCCTTAAAAGATCTTGCAAGCAGAAAAGGCTCACCTTCCTTAATTTTAAACCAATTTTAAAAATCTTGTACCGATGAGGAAAACCTTTTAACATTTTTTCTTTTGAAACCACCATTTATTATTAAATTGGAATAAATTGCTTCTACAATTATTTCTTGTTTTTTTGGGTGAAAACTTTGAAATTTTGAAACATCGTTTGGAGTCTGCTGTATTTAAACGCAAACAAAACGGAAGAAAATGCGCTTCATTCAGCTTAAAAAAGTACTTATTTAAACTTTTTTATTAATCAGCATCAGCACCCTTTTGTAGCATCAACTTTTGATACTCAGGATCAAAAAGATATGCCAATTTTTCCTTTTTCTTTTCAAGTAGACAAAGTGCTATGATCATGAACATAAAAGAAGGAAGTTAAAAAGATGCAGACACAAATCAGAAGTTTGAGTCGGAAAAGTCAAAGCTTATGGCCATTTTCAATTGTCAATAAAAGGTATTTATTTTGTCAAAAAGGAGCAATTGGTACTTCTGGAACAAATCATTGGGAAGATTTTTTGCGGTATTTTTTGAGGAAGTTTCAAAAAGTGAAAGTTCAGATTGCTGTTCTACAGTTATTGTATTACATAATAACTTTTAAAACATTTAAAAAGATTTTACACATACAAAAAAAATTTTTCGATAACCAAAAAGTTAGCAAGTATTTTCAGCTCGTCGATGTTGTCAAGACCAGCCCTTGGTTGTGTTTAATGTCATGTTTCATTTGTTAGCAAATAAATATCGACTTGAAGTATATAATAAATGCGAAAGTATTTAAGCCAGTTATGATACACATAAAAAGTTTACATAAAAATAACATAAGTGCATACAAAATGCAGTGAAGAGACCAATGTAGGAGAGCCGCAGCTAAAAATGTTACACTCGAGCGCTTCGCATAAGCAATGATGCATGTTAGTTGCCTGCAAGTTATTATCATTACGACATTAAGTGCTGCTACCCTCGCCAGTATGACTCTGTCGTTTAAGATTATAGCAAATTATTTTAATTAATTAATCAATTCAACTTCAACCACACCGAAAATAGTGTGCGCTAGTTTTTTTTTACAAAATTATTACTAAAGTTTGATGCATCAAATTATGTCTTCAAATTTGTTAATGTACTAATTAAAAGTATATTAAATTCTTTTCCTAGTTTTTATGATAAATCGGTCACAAGGAAAAGTAAGCGCACATGAATTCTTAATAACTAAATAAATAAATAAATAAATGAATAACGTTTTATATTGAATTTTGATACATCAGCTGCAATCTTTACGACCAGAGCAAGTTGTCGAGCGCATGAAGAACGATTCGTCGTTGTTTCTCCTCTGTAGAAGACTCTTTCATATACATGCATGCATGCACCATAACTTTTTGAAATATCTAAAAACCAGTCTGGTATAATTTTATAACTTAACAGCTCAACAATATTTTAATAAAAATTTAACAATACTTTTTGTTTACATTTGTAGGTAACTTTGTTTTTTGTTTTTGCAACCTTTATTACAAAACTCTCTAACTTAATGACATAACCCCTTATTCATATTTTATAACACACATCCTTTATATTTTTATAAAAAAATAATTTGCCTCCAATTTTATTTAAAGTTTAAAGTTTACTGTGACAAAGTATGACTTGACTATAATTGATGCAAAAGGAAGCGTTCCAAATTTTTCTAAAATGAAAAAAAATTGAAAAAATTTGTGCTATTTTTCATTAAGCTTTTAATCTGATTTTTTTCAAAAGATAAAACGTTTGAAAATGTTTTTAAAACACGTTTCCAACTTGATTGCAACTTTTCTGTTCTGAAAAATTTAATTTTGCTGCAAAATTTTAACATCTGACATTTTCTCACATTTGTTTTCGGACCTTGGAAAAAAATTTGAAAGCTCGCAGACCAAAACTAGCATTTAATATAATAAAAACTTTATAAATTTAGTGAATAATCTACGAACCATATTTGAAAAGGTATAAAAATATTATTTTAATATTTTATTTCAAAAATTTATTAAAAGTAGTTACTTAACAACCTGAATGATGAAAATAATCTCAAATCATTCACCCATCTCGAAAATAATATAGTCTTATTACTTTTTTATTTGTTCATGTTGCCTTGACATTCCTGTTTTTGTTTTTGTGGCCTGTTATTATTCAAGTAAAACTCTAAAGGCTTTTACAAATTTTTCTGAATTTAGCAAAATAATATTTTATATGAAATACAAGTAAAAAATGATTTTATAGCCAAGCAATAACAATATAATAACTGTCAATACATGCATCGAACAAAATACATAATTGGGGGTATTCATGTAGTTCAGACCAGACAGACATATGGACGAAAACGAAATTGAGGCTGATGCGTTCCACAGTTATTTATTACTGTGACATTACTTAGCATTGCAACCATTTTATATGTTTTTTCATTTCTAACTTTTTGCTTGGCTACAAAACTTTTTCATTTAATCTCTTTCAAGTAATGTTTATTATTTGATCACATTATACATATCTCACGTTGAGACACAATGTTTATATCCAACTACTTGAGTGTGTAATAGTCATTTAGGTAGGTTGGGATAGGTACATGCTAATGCTAAGTACCTGTTAAACCGTTCATAAGTTTAGTGGTTAGTTAGTAGGGAGTGTATATGTTGTATTTGGAGTGTCATGTGTATAGTGTGTATAGCATATTGTGTATAGCATGGTGTTCGTAGGGTACGTCTGCTAATTGCCTATGCACAGCCTGTGTGAGTTGAATGTGCCAGTAGGAATGAAATTGAAATGTTGGAGACGCCTTATCCTATGGAGACATCAAATGATGCTCTGTAATTTGTGGCAACATGCCCAACTCCGTTAACTGGAAATCTTTCATTTTGAATTATTGGAAATAAAAATATTAAGGTGAACACTGAGGAAACACCAGTTGTGACAAACACGCAGTAGATGTTAACGTTTGCGATGATTTGTAGTTAACTATTTTACTGTAAATGAGATTATATTTCACTTGGTTCTTATTGAATTAACACAAAACTTAGCAATTAGTATTTGTTTCAAGTATTATTTCTTATGAACATGATCAAAACTGAAACAACACAAATAATTATTTCTATTTATTTATTGGCATAGCAATTCATATAAATAATATTCTGAAAAAATTAATTAAGACATACATGAAGACAAATCAAATTTTCTCAAACTAAACAACAGGCCGAGGCAAAATGAAAAAAAATGTATGAAAGCTACATACATATTGCAGCAATAGCCTGATTAGAAAAATTGATTAATTCACGAGAGGTCGATTGGACGTTGTTCGCCTGAAATGTTTGATATTCGGTCGAGTTATTGAAAGTATCATCCACCAAATAAATCAAACATATCTTGCGATGCATCACATCCCCTACGTTCTTCTTCAATTCGCTTGACGTCGGTTGGAAGTCAAATGATGAGAAACAAAATTTTAAAATGCAACTACCTCCACAATAATGGTTATTACATAAAATAGGTCTCAACACCAACATAAGACATAATTGTGTATAATGTAATCACAAGAAACAAATAAACAAGAAGCAAAGAAGCAAGCAAGTCATCAACCTACATACATATGCAAATATGCCGCTTGTTCAAACACCACACATCACATCCATGCAAAAAATAAATCGATGTAGCGAGGTCCACTCAGAGATGAAATAACCGGACAGAAATTTTTAATAACGCGATGGAGCCTATTAGTTACGACTCGCCTGCTGTCAGCAGATCCAGAAACAGAAAAAAAAACTAAATCAGTTTGCTGGGGTTGATGTTTGGAAATGTTTTGGAAGCTGAAGTCGCCGGAATCATTGAAGTTTGTTGACCATGCTAAAAAGCTAATATATTAATCACTGTGCAGTCAAACATTTTGCGCTATATCATGTTCAGTCCAGGTTTTAATAAAATAACAAAGTTTTCTATTTTACGAAAAATTGTATCTAAAAGACATTATTAATTTATGTGATAATAGTTATAACATTACCATAACATCAACAATAATATAAAACATTAAAATAGTTGCTAACATCTCTTTCAACGACTTTAAAAGTATCGTTCAGAGTAACATTATCACCATTATTATCAATATAGTTAATAATTAAAAAAATAATAATAATAATTTCAACACCATCTCACCAAAATACCACCAACCGTATTCAACCGTTGTACACATTCAGCTGAATTTCTGATCTCCAACAACTCATATCCACTGTCTGATTTGGGCCGTGCTAAATTGCTATGCTGTGATGTGTTGTAGTATGTTGTGGCAAGTTTTGTATGGTTTTGCGTTATGTGTGGTGTTGTGTGGTGTTGTGTGACATTGTGTGGGGTTGTGCTGTCATGGGTGACATTGTGTGGTGTTGTGTGACATTGTGTGGTGTTGTGTGACATTGTGTGGTGTTGTGTGGGATGGTGTGGTGTTGTGTGGGATGGTGTGGTGTTGTGTTGTCATGTGTGACATTGTGTGGTGTTGTGTTGCGTTTTGTGTTGTGTTGTGATGTGTTGGTACACTTCAAGAATCGTTCTTACGTGTACATGCTCATAGTTGGTACAGCTATGAGAATTTATCTCTTCACTTGGGTTGTTTATGTTTCTTCAAAAAATATTCAAAAAGTTTTGTTTATTTTGATGTTTACAAATTGATACATTCGAATGTTTGCTCGGGCAGATGTTCAAGCATTGAAGTATCTCTTTGATGTCGGTGCGTCTGAAATGTATAGCATTCCTACTTTCTGAATGTTTGTTTTTTCAGCGCCTGGATATGAAAATTTTCATATTGGCCATCGTTTTTAGATGCGGAGTATAACGTGTATAGAATATGGTGTGTCTGAACTGAATGTGATCTGTGAGTAGTGATTGTGAATTAAATGTGAACACGAACAAGCTTGAGTTGAAGTGCATGTACGTCATACTGTTTCATCAGTTGCATGTATCAAACATTCCATACATATTGCTGCTGCTGCTGTTGTTTTCATCATTACGCCGAGCTGGAAAAGCATAAGGCTTAATAGACAGCACAGCACGTGCTGAACTTCAGCAGTGGTCGCAAGCCTCAGTGCAACCTGCATTGGAGAATAAAGTTAAACATAGAGGCCCGTGGTGTAACATTTATAATTTGTGTTGTGTGACATTGTGTGGTGTTGTTTATAATTTGTATTAAATTTTGGAATGTAAAACTTAAATATACTTGATATATTTTATACCGGCGTGTTTTAAACAGAGCCACATCCACAAATAAAATCAACGTAAGTCTGTCGATGCGTGTGGATTTTTAAAAATTAAATACTCGTATAACTGCAGAGATGCATTCGGAAAAACAGTTTCCTCAAATGGATCATCAATTTGTTATTGAATAAACTATCTATCGCCAGCTTACTTGCTGGAAGGAGCCCAACCACTCACATCTCACCAAAACGTTGACCAATCTATTCCAGTGAGAAAAATGTTCACCATTTATTTTAAAATTGAAAATTGTGTGTTTATTTTTTTTTTATTTAGATTAAAACTCGTAACGTTACAGTAGAATGTTGAACAGTGAGGGGCACAAACGACACGCCTGCATCACTTTAATTGGGCAGGCAACGATGAAATATTTAAATTTGAAACTCACTCGTCAGCGAACAAGTTTGTCTAATTCTAATCATCAATTCGTCAATTACATCATTTACGCCAACTAACTGGCACATGATTGCCATTTAAAAAATGTTTCTTTCGTATTAATTAAAAATTTATTAAATTTTATTTAGAGAATTCATTAGCTCCAATTCATTAATTCATTCTCCGGTAATTTCATGAATATTAAATTATCAAGAAATTGGTATTTTTTTTAAATTAATATTTTTTCAATAGTCAATAATGCTGACAACAGTTTAAAAATAAAAGTGACTCACCCAGCATTTGGAAAAGTCTGGCAATCTTTTGAACCTTTTTCGAGGACCAACTCTCGCACGGAGTCCAATGATATAAGCAACAACAACATTCTGACTTGCGACAAACGAGACGTCAACAGAAACTGACAACATCAGTTCAACGTCAACATTCATTTGTGAATCACAACAAAGCAGTACGGCAGCATACATGAACATTGGCCGAAACAAACTCAACCTGCTAATCCGCATTTACAACAACAACAACAACAAAAACAACAACAAAGACAACGTAAAGCTTAACAACAATAACAACACAAACCTCAACAGCAACGACAAAACAAACCTCTACCACAATAACATCAACACGTCCGCAATACGAACTAACAATAAAATTGTAGAACTCACACAGCGCCAGATCACGGAACAAACCCTGACAGACGATCAGCCACCACGGCGCACGCATTTATATACGATCAGGCGTTGGTAATTTTTCAAAATAAATTTGCCAGGTCACCAACACTTGCAACAAACATCAAGTCGAATATATAACTTTATAACAAATATATATATATGTATATGAACGTTACAAATATGTAACATAATAACAGATATATAACTTTATAACGAGTCTAAATGAGCCCAAGATTGTTTGTAGAGAGTTCTTCTCAGAAAGAAGGCAGAAGCTAATGTAACCTACCTGCCTACGTGCAAGCACCTTTGAAACTTTTTAATTACATAGATAGGTTGACAACTAATTAATGATTATATATATATATATATATATATATATATATATATATATATATATATATATAGAAAGAGAGAGAGGGATAAGGTAAATGTTAATGAGGATAATGATGAAAAGAGAGAGAGAAAGAGAGAGAGAGAGAGGACTTCAGTTCCATTCATAATTGTTCTAGTAATTGCCATCAACTTCATCATCCTCACCAACATCATCAATAACATCATCATCATCATCATTATTATCATCATCATCATCATCGTCATCATTATCATTAACACAACATCAATAACAGTTTGTCCTATAAATTCTTATCATTAACATCAAAATAATGACAACATATTATTATTATTATTATCACCATTATTATTGTTATTATTATTATTGTTGTTGTTGTTGTTATTATTATCACAATCATCATCATTGCCGTCTTACACCACCGCTTACGAATCGGTACCTCCACAATAATAATGTAACCAGTCTTCTTCATCATCGTCTTCATCATATCGTCGTCATCGTCATCATCATCGTCAAAATTATTTTTCTTCCAATTTATGGTCTTTGTTCAAAATGATTTTTATCTCTATCATAGAAAATATCCACTTAAATATTAAAAGTAAACAACTTTTCCATCATCATCATCATCATCATCATCACCACCATCATCACCATCATCATCACCATCTTCATCCTCTTCATCATCATCATTATCATCATCAGTAGCAGCTGCAACAAATACATCATCATCGCCACCATCAAATACACGATCATCATCATCACCACCAAATACATCATCATCATCATCAAAATCAAATATATTATCATCAATCATCATCATCCCCATCAAGCAATTCATCAGAACCATCATCGTCATCATCATAATTTTCATCACTATCTCCATCATCATCATCATCTTCATCATCACAATTTTTATCACTCTCTCTATCATCATCATCATCATTAAATACATCAAATACATCATCATCGTCATCAAATAATGCATCGTCATCATCGTCATCATCGTCATCGTCGGCGTCTTCCTCCTCCTCATCATCATCATCACGACCATTATTACTTTCTAGCCAGTGAGCAATTACAAACTAGAATAATAATTAAGTTGCTCTTCAAAACAAACATCCGCAACAGCGTCGCCATCTTTGTAATCGCCATTGTTAGTGTTGTTGCTGTTGTTGTTGTAGTAGTAGTAGTAGTTGTTGTTGTTGTTTTTATTGTTGTTGTTATTGTTGTTGTTGTTGTTATAGTAATATTAGTTGTTGCTGTTGTTGTAGTAGTAGTAGTAGTAGTGTTGTTGTTATTGTTGTTGTNGTCGCCATCATCATTACCATCATCGACATAATCTGAAGCATGATCAATGTCACCACAACCATCATCATCATTATCGTTATCATCAACATCACCATCATCATCATCACCATCACCCTTCATAAACATTAACCTTAACTACAACTAAACGATGGTAAAACCCGAAAATTAATCGAACCTCTTAATTAAAGAGGACATGATGACGATGACGATGATGATGACGATGATGATGATGACGACGATGATGATGATAAATATTTGAGCCTAGATAGAGGAACGACTCGATAATTTTATGGTCGTCAGGTTATAATGTCACCGACCTTTCCTAACATCAACAACGTTCATACAGGAAGTTATATCATGACGTCATCAACATCAGATCAAGTCAACAAACATTTTAACAAATTCATGTAGAATAATTTTATTTACAACATTGATAAATAACTAGCCAAAAATTCTGCTAAATATTGAATAATCAATGAATCATTATATCATTTTTACGATGTAATTTATTTACTGATGACCGAGTTAGCTCAGTCGGTAGGAGTGCCAGCCATGTCTCGCACTGCTGTTACGCGATGGCATGGTTCAAATACTGTCTGACCGAAACTCAAAGACCATCATACGCGTACGATGCTGTGCTTGCGCGTGCGTACGTACATAATACGTGTATGCACGTCGTGTGGCGGGGGTAGTGTTGTACAGCCTTTGGGGCACGGGGCATGGATTACAAGTACAGAATGACATGCAAGCAGTTAAAAATGAAAAAGAAAAAATTGTTTTAAAACCAGCAAAGAATTTAAAATGATTAACAAATTTTATCAATTTTGGAAATATAACATCTTATAATAGGACCAATATAAGCGAACATTGATCGTCACGTTAGTAACATGCATAACCTGACAACAACAACAACAATGCACCAGCAACAACCACATGAAAACACAGTTAGTTCTTATAGAAACCAAATTAACATTACACAACAACACATCAGAAACAACTCACCAACAAGAATAACAGCTTAAAAAATCATACCACGTAAATTCTCCACCACCAACAATAAATATAACACCATTTAACACCACCTAACAACTGTCTCAGCAACTCTCACGCAAGCAAACACTCACAGACGCGTACACACATACGTGCAAACATACACACATCATATCAACAATGCCACATCATTTGAAAACATTAACGCTGTGAGATATAGCATCATCGAAACGCAGAAAACATCAACAAATTATAGATCACAACAATATACCAGACGTCGCCAAAAACATATATGCAACATATACAACCCCAAATACAAATATGCAACATCACCAACATAAAAACATCACCAACATACAAACATCACCAACATACAAACAAAACACCAAAAACAAAACATCAGACGCAAAGATGATGATGAAGAAGAAGATGAAGTTGATGATAATTCAGCATCCGGTTCCTCACAAATTGTTAATTATCTCATCTTCTAATTTGAACAAACCATAAATAATGCCATGCATTCTTTCTTTGCATAGTTTAGGGCCGTATATTCATCTATGTACTGTGCACAAACACACACATACAAAAGTACTTACATATGTATGTGTATACATTTGAAGAATATAGATTTTATAAATATACAGATATGAATATTTATATGTTTATATTATGTGTTTATAGTATGTATATATAAATATAGACTACTTTATTAACAAATGTATATCGTTTATTAAGGACACAGAAACGTAGAAGAAAATTACTTGTGGCAGTGTCTTGACTAAAATTTTGTCCCGCAAGGTTTAAATGGTGTAGACTTTGATGACAAACATTACCATATATATATATATATATATATATATATATATATATATATATATATATATATATATATATATATATACACACACTTAGACACACACACACACACACACAGAAACACTCACAAAAACACACACACACAAACACACACAGATACACACACACACATAATTACGCATAATGGTAATAGATTTCAAAAAATAAAACCAAAACGTTCAATCAAGCGAGCCATTTACAAAGCTTAAACGGTCAGCATACAAACAGCTGTGCCCAGCTGGATGGTTCATCGGTGGAAAAATGTAGGAAAGTTTATAGGTGCTAGCAAAAGTTTTAAGAATTTTTTAAAACAATATTAGATTGTCTATGTTTGTAAAGTTAGGAGGAGTTATATTGTTCCAGATGAGATAGACTATTGTTGATTAAGTTTAATCTAGATGTCTTAATGTAAAAGTGTCATTTTTGTATGGGTTAGATAATTTAATTAGATTTGAATATTTGAGAAATGCCGAGGAATATGGAGGCAAAAGATTTTTTTATAAATTTAGAAACAAGTTAATTTGATTAATTGATGAAATTATAGACTTATTAAAAAGTTCTTTGGTATGATCGGTTGGTAGGTTTTAGATTATAAGTTATCTTTAAAAAGCGTTTTTGGCAACTGAGTAATAGTTTGAGTAATTACTCCGGACTATTACCCCAGATAATGTTGCAATGAATAACATGTGGAAATATAAAACTAAAGTATAATTTAATTTTAGTAACGTAATCAAGTTAATGTTTTTATTTGCTTAAAATACATAACAAATTATAAATTTTTTTCTAATAGTTAAACTGTATGTGGATCATGACAAATTGTATTGAATATATACACCTAGAAATTTAATTGTTAAATTTTTTAGGTTGAATGTTATTTAATTTAAGAGATAAATCTTGTATAGTGTTGGATTGTAGGGCCAAAAATTGTGTAAAATGATTTGCTAATATTGATAACTAACAAGCTTATTATTTGAAAACTATGACTAAATACTTTTTAGATCAATATTTAATAAGGTAATATCACCACAAATTGTTGCCAGCATGCATTGTACATATAATAAATAGACACACATTTGGACTCATTTCAATAGTGAAAAGAAGAGGGCCCAGTATTGAACCCTGGAGGACCCCAAATGTCACATGTTAAACATCGGGTCTTGTGTTATCAGTGGATACGAATTGTGCTTTATTTGACAG